AAAATAAAATATGTAGTTTTTAAATAACAAAACTAGGACCATTCTAAACCATACTATGCGAGTTATGTTTATATAATTATTAAATGAGGGATAAAATTGAAACTCTATGACTAATAAGTCATAGGTATCCCCCGACTTACGAACTAGTTTCGTTCGAAAGGGTTGTTCGTAAGTTGGGGGAATTTTAAAAATTTCAAAATATACTTATCTTACAACAACACTTTATGATGTTTTTTTTTTTTTTTGTTTTATATATGTTAAATTTTGTATTAGTGACTGCATAAATTTGAAAAAATTGATTAAAATAAACAAAATACTTACTTACAAATACATCACAATTATTTATTAAAAGAAATTATCAATTTTTGTTTGGACAGTTAATTTGTTATCACTATATATCTCCTTGTAACAAGTTAAAGCTTTTACAATTTTGTTTGTAAGTTCGAAAGTTCTTAAGTCGGTGGATATTTGTAATGTATTTGTCGATGATTCGTCAATTTAACAAATTCGTTGACTTATAATTGAGAAAAAAAATATTTTTTTGAGTAATGATTTTTTTGTAATATATAATTTTAAATGTAGTGAATGTTTCTCTTGAGAATGATATATAAATAATTTTGCCTTCGAACAACATAAAGTCATTGAAGTGTTTTTGTTTATTCTTCAGATATGTAATTTATGGACTATCAAGTTTGCAAAACGTACAAGTAATTTATGGATTACATTAAAAATATCCTGTTATTCGATGTATAAAGCATGCCGATTGGATCGATAATAATCATAGTCATTGAGTAATTAATTTTAAAAAAATGGACAACGTATGACAGTGTTATCATTACTATTAATGACACAACATCAATTAGCAGTAAAATGCTTTTATCAAGTAATTAGTAGTCATTAATTAAAGATACAACCGCATCGTGCATTATAAATATATATTGATAAAAACGTAAACAAATATTTATCGACTAAAAGCGAAAATTTCGATACAAAAATAAAATTAAAAAAACCTTTCAGTTTGTGTGCATTTTTATTGTTATTTTGGAGGACTTCCGATTCCATGGACATTATTATGTCATAAATCAAGGCGTGCTTCGGAGGAGAGCAAAAGTAAAACGGAGGATTTAGTATCGATGTGCGAAAAGCTATTGGGGACTTCTCTTTTCCTTCCCTCTTCCTTTTTTTTCGAGTCAAGATTGATGTGGCGCCCGTTCAACCATTAAATTATGTTTGGCTGTCCTCTTTTTTTTTAACATAAACGCATTCCACAATAATTTGTGAAATCTGTATTCGCTGATCAATCAAATTAGCTGGAAGCAATCGATTATGGTGAAAAGGCTATCTCCGTCGAACTGAGCTGACTTCAATTCCTCGCTGAATAGTAAAAGAAACAAGCGGAATCTTTGGTTCTTATTAAACTTTCCGATTGACTCTTTTCATTTTCTCCTATTTGTCTTCGAATGACTACAAGTTGATTGTTTCAAGCATACCGAATTATAGATTCAAAAAACTTGGTTTTAATGCAAATACTAAAGTAGTGACTGCATGGAATTAAAGTTGTTGGTATAAATAAATTTGTAATACGAAAGTGAACCTGCGTATAAATAATAAGTTATAAATAGAAAACCAATTACTATTTTATAGGTAGTTAAATAAATGACTTTAGTTTGAATCGATTTCAACGAGTTTTCTGCGGAGCACAAATTGTGATTAGCGCGTATGTAGGTTAGAGCATCGTAAGTAAACCCAATAATTGGCAATTGAAACTATCAATTGATAACTATATACAATTACAATTGTATCAATCAAAGGGAAATGCGCAGATTGAAGTCGATCATTCTATTTCTGCTATTTTCTTTTCAATTAAGCGGGTTTCATAATTAAGTGGATCTGGTTTAAAAAAGCCTTCTTTGATTGAATTCAATTCAAGTGTAGCGAATAGCAAATGAATTCGATAACATATTTTACTGCTTTCAAATATTCATCACTTGTTTTTGTTCGTTTTCTCCACATATTTATCATCGTCTTATTAATATGTAAAAGATGATTCCGGATGTCGTGGATTGGAAATTATGTCATAAAACTTACTTTACGACTGCTGCCGAAGTCCCACAAACATATATATATATAATATCCCCCTTTTAATTATTTACCTCGAAGCCCCCCATGGTTGAAGCTGGACTGCGCTGTAATTTATTACAGCCAAGTCCAATTCGCGAAACGACTATTTAGTGAAATACACTTTCGGTTTTTTTTTTGCTCATCTTTTTTCGTCTGACCGTGCCTCTTCCTTCCCATTTGCGGTGGGGATGAACGTACCGTAGTTTCCTAGAGGAGGCGGTCCCCGAGGAAATCCTCTTCCGAAAAGTTCTCTTCGCAATTCACTTTCAACAACTTGATTATTATAACGCAGGCGATGGAGAACTTTCAACCCTCGCAAAGTACTAACGACTCCTTTCTTTGAAAAACATCGGAACCGTGTACGTGCCCTCCCTTCGTACTGCGATTAAATCGTAAATCATCTACACGGTATTCAATCTCGTGAATTGTTAACATGTTTGTTTAGATACCTCAAAACTGCTAATGAATCTAATTTATAAATTACTATATTTGTTTTACTCATTTTTTTACTTAGAAGATTGGATTATATTTGTGGATTGATTGTTTTCTGTCATTCATCTCATAATATATTTATTTGGACAAATCATCCGCATTTTATATAAGTTAGGCGAAACTTAGTTTTCAGAGGAAAAATGCTATGACCAGAAAGGGAATACTTTTCTTTGCGCAAAAATTCATCAAGTGAAGTAATACTTTTAAACAAGTCTCTTTATTGAGTAGTAGCAGAAATGTGTAGTTTGATGACATTCAACATGGATCTTCATTAGGATTTTTCATACTTAAATAATAATTTACATCTGAAACTAATGTCTTGTATAATGTAATGCCATGAATTCGTATTTCAAAGATGTATGTAGAAGCTATTCTGCTTTTTCATATTTAAATAACAATCTGCATCTTAACTAGTGTCTTTATCAAGTAATTCCAGTTCTATCATTAATTTATCAAATCGTACGTATCTCGACAATGAGAAATGAAATCGTTGCTTCTTATTGTATTGTGTTCAAATCTTTTAAATGGTGCTCCATAAATTAGTGCGTCTCGGGTGGAACAGTATGTATACAAAGTGATACGGGGATTTTGGGGCGTCGGTAAAGGGGTGTCCCGGAGGAAATTTATTACTTCCAGTAATAATATTAATAAGTTTAAAGTTCTTTCTTAGCCGTGCGACCGGCATTCCTAATGATTCCTCTTAATATTCAGGAAGTGAATAACACTTTTAAAGAGGGAGCAAAGCTAGATTACTTGCTAGTGCCCTCTCTCCTTCATGATACAGCTGAAAAGGGCTTCTGGTGTTCATTATGTACTCTCATTTCAAAATATGTCTAAATTGTGCTATTCTGGAAGGAAAGACAATTTTCTTAAAATTGTTTTTGATTTTTTGACAAAAAATAATTATATGAAGATTACAAATAGATAATATTAATTTATATTTTTATATTGTGAAAAATATTTAAAATAACATTAAAGCATTTATTTAATAAAAAAATAAATATGTTATAATTTGGAATACGAAGAAATACAATATTTAATGGCAATAATAATACGAAAATAGCGAAAAAAGAGCAAAGATTAATAGAAGTGATTTTTAATTAAAATTATTCTTCATTGTTACTATAAAGACTTTCAATGTTTTATAAACTATTTTAGGCTATAGATGCAATTTCACATTATAAAACTATATTGTATATCGTGGTAATATTCACGTCAAGCTAGACAGCATAGAATAGTTTTAATGTTAAGTAATCATAAAATATGATGGATGAATAGAAGGATTGATTGTTTGCATGCTGACAAAAATATTCTAACCATTTAAAAATAATATTAATTTTAGTCAATAGCCCTTTGTATGTTATTATACAAGAAATTTTGATTATTAGTATTATACATTTTGTAATTTGTCGTATTAACTTGAAAGGTGTCTTGAATATTTTTGAACATAAATCATGATTTAAATACCTTACACCTTCTAGAATATTCCAAAGGTCCAAATTAAGGCTATTGCTTTTCTTGTTAATTTTTAATGTTAGTCTTCTCGGATGACTTGAATTTATCGTTTGCAATCTATAATTTTCAATCAATAATTAACATGTGAATGCTGTGTGCAATTATTTTAACTGAATTTATAGCTTATGCTGTATTCACTATTTCAATGGAGAGTATTGTTATCATTGTAAATGATCACGTAATTATTATGTAGTGTTGTATATAATACGAGTTTTTAAGTAATTAATCAATTCTTTTTGTCCTATTATTAGATTTATATATCTCTTGGACATATAAACATTATTATTGTTATTAATTGTGCATTGTATTATCTATATACGTTCTGTAATATGAATTATCATATTGTAATATAGTTGAGTTCACATTTAGTAGAAATAATGTTTTGAAGTTTTAGTAATCCATGATTTAAACAATATAATAACATTCAACGTCCATAATTTTAAAGTGCATTTGATAATACGTACGTTATTATTTTTTTCATTTTCTGAATCAACGAATACATATTCGTAGTAACGTACAATTATGTCAATTGGACTCTGTAGTGAAGATTTAATGTTGTTATTTGACTTTTTTCAATTCATATTTAGATTTTTTCTAAAACTCGTTTTAGGTAATATATAAAAATAAAATTTACTTATTTCTATAAATTCGGGGTTCTACTGCAATATGAACTTCCGTAATAATAAGTACGTGCTTGCGAAAATATGTATACTAAAAGATAGTAAAACATGTGCTTTAATCTTAAAACGTGTTCTGAATATAGAAAATTCAAAGTTTTATTAACTTAAATGTACGTTAAACGAATGCCAATTTGTGTACGTACGTTGACTGATCACTGAATATACTTTAATTAAGTATTATTTTGCTTTCAGGATATGTCTTGGAATTTGCAACGGAACCTCAAGATACGGTCGTACAAAACGGACATTCAGCCGTCCTAGATTGCGTGGTGAAAACGGCGGATCATCATCAGAGTGCAATAGTGACGCAATGGTTGGATCAGGACCACCAGGCGCTCTCCTTCGTAGGCGATAATTACAGGTGCGATCGAAACTTTGATGAAGAGACTTCCTCCCCCTGTGTGTTACGACATTTAACGCTTCAATCAATTTGCAGGTCTCAGCTGACTAACGGTTCGCTTTATATAAGCAGCGTATCAGATCAGCATGGCTTAGCTCTGACCGGCGCTTATCAGTGCAAGGCTTCACTTCCTGGAGGTGCTTCCATTGTCAGCAGGACGGCTCAGCTCAGTTTAGCAGGTAAGTTTCACTTTTATCACATCCGTGTCCGTTCCTGTTCTTTCTTTCTTTCTTTCTTTCTTCTTCTGCGCTTTACAACTTTGCCTTTGAGGTCCCCGAACAAATAAATAACAAAGAGGGAGCAGCAAAATGTGTAACAGAGATGCTTTAAATTTAGACAGTGTGTTTACACTTTGATGAAGTAGCGATCTGCGGCGGTCACCACGCTGTCTTCCAACATGAAGATAAATCATATTCTAAACAACTGTTTCTATTTCAAATCGTTTTAAGTTATTGTGAAAGTTATCCTATTCTAATTTTAAATGCTACTGTTTACTTTGCTGTTTCTAACAAACGCTGTTTTCAATAGCTTTGCAGATAAATATTTCTCAATAGTATTACTTATGATGATGAAGAGTCATACGTGCTTCACATTTTAAAATTACCTTTTTTTTTAAATTTGTACATGGATTGTTTTTCATTTAAATGAAAATCTAACATTATCTACATTTTTTCGGTATAAAGTTACGCATTTTTTGTTAATTTTTATTTAACATTTAATAATTTACCATATTTAAAATATAAATATGTCTTAGCTAATAACATTATATTTAGTACTTTCTAAGTCATTTAATTGATTATAGTATCACGACCTTTCCTTTTCCTTATTTATTGTGTTACCTAATTGTGGGAAGTTGTTAAATTGAAACGTTTTTGGTCATTGACATATAGCTTCGAAAAAATTTAATATTTAAAATTTATGGGTTATGTGAATCCATTAAGATGCATTTTATGTAACTCTTTTATATTTAAAGTGTATACAAATTTGATGACCAATAAATTTATAGTTTTGTTCAAATAAATTATGCTCAGTGTGTTAGAAGGAAGTAATAAAACTATAGAATTGGTCGCACTCGCTTTGAGTAATTAATGTAAAGTCCGGTGATTGTTTAATATAAAGATCACTCATTTATTTTTGTAAAGTACATTTACTAATTTAAAAAATGTATTTTTTTAATTAATGAAACAAATGAGCTATTATTAGTTTTGATTGTGATGTACGCTTTTTCTTGCAGCTTTATCGAATTTTATTCGAGAGCCACTCGATATAACCGTGTATCGTGGTCAGAAGGCGCACTTCGCGTGCAGAGTCCATTCCGTGCCACCGCCTCAAATAAGGTGGCTCAAGGATGAAAGACCTCTGAAACGGGATGAAGTCAGGATGACCTTTCTGCCATCCGGTGCATTGGAAATCGACGAAGTTAAAGATTCGGATCAAGGATCCTACAGGTAAAGAAAACAGAGGAGAAACTAAAGCAGAGATTTCCCAAATACACGATGATGTCATTTTAAGCATCCACATTTGGCTGTGCACCTAGTTTACTTAACTTAATATTAATAATAAAAAATAAACATGCTCGAAGATGTTTGCAGATCATATAATCATCATTAATTTTCAGATGTAACGTATCCGGGTTGAATTCGAATCTATTAAGTAACAAAGCCAATTTGATCGTCGAGGATGATATCGACCAGAGCTACGCGCTCTCCGCTCCAACTTTCATAGCCTCACCTCTACCAGAGGTTGTGGTCGAAGGGCAGACCGTGACCCTTGATTGTGCAGCTAATGGGAATCCAACGCCGAGTATTAAATGGCTCAAGGACGGCTATGCCATTGACATTGCGTAAGGATACTACATTTCCTTTAGTTTACTTAAGATTAGGAAGACTAAGAAAAATTTAATTAAAAAAAAAAACGATTTTATTACCATTTTTAGCGATCTGGACAGCAGATTCAATTTAGTAGGATCGACGAGTTCGCTGACTATCGTTCGCATCCAGAAGGAGGACGAAGGCACTTACCAATGCCGCGCCGAGAATAAGGAGGACAGTTTAGATGCGAGCGCTCAGATCCAGGTTCAGGTTCCACCAAAATTCTTAAAGAAACCGCAGCATAAAACGGAATTGGTGAATAAGGATGTTGAATTGGAATGTGCGGTTTATGGAAAGCCGGAACCGAAAGTGCATTGGCTCAAAAACGGGGAACATATTAACATGAACGAATACTATCAACTAGTCAATGGGTAAATAGATATGGGAAAGCCTCCGTGGATTTATAATTTACTTGTTTCTTTTTGTTAGGAATAACTTGAAGATTGTGGGTTTAATGAAGAGCGACACGGGCTTATTCCAATGCGTCGCCGTTAACGCAGCGGGTAATGTCCAAGCTGCTGCAAGTCTAACAGTCATAGACGGTAAGTTTTCTTGACTATTGATTATTTTTGTATATTTTAGTTATATTATTTGTATTATTTTTATGTATTTTTTTTATGATTTATTAATTTCTTTTATTTCTTTTATTCGTTATCCTTTGAATGTGTAATCCCGGCATGCATTTATATTTATTAATTAATTGCATGGAAATTTTATCCCGTTCGCATGTTACTACTTAAAATAAATTAGGGAAGTCTAAGAGTCCTAAGAAGCCGAATAAGCGTAAGAAAACTGCGCAGCTGAGGCCGAATGACGAAACGTCTCGTGCCCTATTCGATATCTTGAAATCTGATAGCTCCTCCGGTTCGAAGCTGGGCGACTTTAATTTCGGGTACTCCGCCCCTCTGAAACCCTTCAATAACAATAACTACAGACATGGTCCCTACTACCAAAGTAACTTCTCGACGCTGCAAAATTCCGACAGCAATAACAATCTGGGAGACACATTAACCATTACTGATCCCTTTTCCTCTTCCAAACCGTACGTAGGTGATGACCCTGGACACATCTTAGATGGGGCTCCTGGCCCACCGCAAGACCTCAAAGCTCTGTTCATCAAAGCGAGATTCATCGTTCTCAGCTGGAAACCTCCGGTCGTTAATAATGACGATATTGTCACTTATTCCGTTTATTTTCGACACGAGGGGAGCGAACGGTAAGTGGAAAACTGTTTTCTTTTTCTCTCTTGATAAGATCGATAACTGTTAATTTTGCAGCGAGAGAGTCCAGAACACAACGCGCGCCAAGCTCGAGGAAATTAATATCGGCAGTTTGCAGCCGGGGAAAGTTTACCATTTTAGGGTCGTCGCTTACAATTCTCTTGGTATGGGCGCCTCCTCCGAGACGTTAGCAGTTACCACACAAAATGAAGAAAATGTTCCGAGCGCTCCCGTTGATTTCGAGGCATACGCCACTAGTACCAGATCCATACACGTAAGCTGGAAAGCTCCGGAGATCCCGAATGGCCCTATTCTAGGCTACAAGATTTACTACATTGAGGTATATATAACGTTTTTAGTGCGTTACGCTAAATCGCTATTGATTATATTCTTTAGATATTACAGTCGATGGAGCACAGCGTTGAGACGAAGAACACCGAATTCGATATAATATCATTATCGGTGTTCAGTAAATACAACGTTTGGGTGGTTGCTTTGAACAGTAACGGGCCGGGAACCGCAACCGAGGAAAAAGTTGTGCAAACTTTCAGCGACGAACCTTCCGAACCCCCATATAACGTCACCCTCGAACCGGCAAGCAGCACCAGTATAATCGTTCGGTGGGAGCCGCCTCCGCTCGAAGGACAGAACGGAATTATTACGGGGTATAAACTCCGGTACCGGATACAGGGCAAGAAGGGCAGCAATACTTTGTCGACAGCCGGAAACAGCCGCATTTACACGCTAACCGGTCTCGAGCGCGGATCCATATACCAAGTGAAACTCTGGGCACTCAACATCAACGGCACAGGTCCACCCACCGACTGGATCGAAATTGAAACGTACACGAACGATCTAGATGAAAGCAGGGTACCGGATAAGCCGGGACCTTTGAAGGTGCGCCCCGCTTCCGATAAGCTGTATGTGGTCTGGAGTCCACCCGAAAACCAGAACATCAAAATTCGAAATTATATTCTCGGTTGGGGCAAAGGAATACCGGACATCTTCTCACACGAACTAGACGAGAAGCAAAGGCAGTACATCATTCCGAATCTAGAAGCAAATTCCGAATACGTCATCAGCTTAAGGGCGAGCAACGAAATTGGAGCGGGAGCACCGGTCTATGCGAACGTTCGCACAAGGGAAGAGCAACCTCCGGATCTCATCAGCCCTCTGATTCCACCTGTTGGACTCAAAGCACAGGTCCTCAGCGCTTCGAGTGTCATCCTCTATTGGGTAGACACTACTTTGAGCAAAACTCAAGTAATACATAAATCGTAATACAATTTGAATTTACAACTAAACTCTAAACTGTTTATAGTTCGTAAGAGACAACCGCTACTATGTAGTGGAATATCGATACACTTCAGGAAAAGTCCCAAAAACCAGGCATGTGAACGTCACCAATTTGAATGTGATGATTGACGACCTGAAACCGAACACTCTTTACGAATTCAGCGTAAAAGTAGTTAAAGGTAAAAAATCACTACGACCATAATTTAATTTTTTTTATTAATAATATACCTTCAGCTCGGAGGGAGAGCCCTTGGAGTATGGTTGTTACAAACACGACCTGGGATGTACCACCAGGCAACGCGCCAAGGGATTTGAACATCCAATTGGCCGAGGACACGCAATTGGTCGAATTATCCTGGCAACCGCCCAAGCAGCAAAGCGGGCATGTAACAGGTTTGTAAAGCTGTCTTCCTTTCATCCTGATTTTCACTAATTTCCCCCCTTATTTTAGGTTACATTATTCTGTACACGAACGACAGCACTCTGAGGGATCGCGACTGGTCGGCACAGGCCGTCAAAGGGGACAAACATAAATCCACCTTGACGGACCTCCAACCATCAACAAAATACTTCTTCAAGATTCAAGCTCGGAACAACCGCGGGAACGGTCCTTTCTCTTCAGTGATTTCATTCAAAACGGGTCAAAGTAAGTTATAACAATACATTTATTCCTATTATAAAAAATCATTCACTGGTGACGGGTTATTAAATTAGTACGTTTTCAATTCATTTTATTATTATTTTTTTTTTGCATATTGTTATTATTTTTGTTTTGTTTTATTAGACACGGGATTTCTGCCATTGGATGCACATAGCAAGGGTAAATCTTAATTTATTTTTATCAAAATTTAAGCGCGACCAATTTTTCATTTATTATTATTATTTTAATCATTTTTTATATCACTCAAGTGTTTTTCAGCGTAAAATTGATTTCAATTATTATGTATTTTTTAGATAAAATGGGTGTATTTTCCGGGACTACCCTGTTGATTATAATAACCGTTTCTTGTGTGGTTGCGCTAGTAACTGGAATATCATTGATCGCAATATCTTGTTGTCGAAAACGTCCGACTAACACGACTCCGGATAGAAGTAAAAAGGGTTACCAAAAAGGTACACAAAACGTGAAACCGCCAGATCTATGGATCCACCATGACCAGATGGAGCTGAAGAACATGGACAAGAGTCATAATAATGATGGTGCCAGTAGTAGCGGTGCCATGACGTTGCCCAGAAGTGTGGGTACAAATGATTACGATGACAGAGACACGCAACACACGAATTCCTTGGATAAGAGGACCTACGTTCCAAATTATATGGGTATGAATTTTTAATATGTAATCAACACGCATGCGCTTCTTCATAATCGTTTCATTTATCTCACACATTTTCGCTTTTTGCTGCACTTTATAGGTTTAACACCAGATAGTAAAGTTGTTGTCATAGCTAAACCTATAACATTACCACTTGACTGTAAACCATCACAAGAATGTAAGCTTTCGCATTTATATAATCATTAATTATAAATATTTCGTGTGGATTTGAATTGATCTATTTATGATTTTAGCTATTCCAAATGCTCCAACAATAAATTCGAGTAATTTGAGTCAAACGAGTTCGGATTCGACGCCTTCAAACAGACCATCGTATCCTCGGACCCAATACACAATTTCAAGGGCTCATGTCACCCTTGATCAAAACCCGACAATCGACAGCCCCTACGCTTCTCATACGTCCAATTATGATGCGCACAACGCAGCTCCTCCTTACATTAAGTAAGTTCTAATTTGAAGATTGAAAAAACATCAAAATCTTTTAAACTAATTACTTTTTCAGTCAAGTTCCGCCCCCTATAGCCCACGTTCCGCCATCCAGTACTTACGCCCCCGGAATGAGTATCTTAGCTGAATCACAAGCCAACAAACGGATGCCAGGAGCAAATCAGCATCCTCTGAAGAGTTTCACCGTTCCAGCACCTCCTCCTATCTCCGCCCCAGGGACGCCGCAACCTAAGCACGTCGGTTAGTAAAGTTATTGTTTGTTTTTGTTGTTGTATTTTATTTATGTTTTTTCTTTCTTTATATTTTTTTTTCTTTGATTTTGATAAAAAAAATCTTTAGTAACGCCTGCTCAATTAATAGTGAGACCGAACCAATCGCCGTACAAGAAACCGCCTTCGAGCGGTTCCAGCACTCTAACGGGAACACCCCCATCCAGGATTGCCAGCAACCCGCCCCCGCACAACGTCGAAGAGGTGCAGAGACTGAAGCCATCACATTCCACTGAAGAGCTTAACCAGGAGATGGCGAATCTGGAAGGGCTGATGCTCACACTTAATGCCATAACTGCCAACGAGTTCGAATGTTGAGAGTACACGAAACAGGCCCCTCCCAAAATACCCCATCCACCTTAAAAGTAAATAAACAAAAAAAAAACACGTGATCTCTAAACAAAAACATAAATAATTAATTGAGAGAAAGAGAGAGAAAGAATATAAATATATATATATATATATGTTGAATGCGTGATTTTAATCTTTGATAATTTTTAGTCTTGAATTTCGGGAGATTAAATGAAAGTGCTTTTGTGATTTTTTTGAAATTCCGATGAATGAAGGAAGTAAGCTAAAACGATTATAATTTTTAAGGAATATTGGTACAAATCTATATATTTAAAAACAAAAGAAATATTGTATTGCCTGGCCTACTTTTTCTACTGCCGTATTTAATATAAGTGATTTAATATTTAATTTATATTATTATTTTTTTGGAATCATATTATCGTCCTGATTTTGTATCCACAATAGCTCTGGTAAAGCTTTACTTTTGTATATTTACATGTAACGATTCTTTCCCTATTGTTTTTTTTATGTATATACAGCAATCATCTAACTTGAACAATGTCATTTCTGTGCTCAAAACGTTATATGATTCGTTTTTATTTTTTGGGATCCTGGGCGATTGCGTTTATTTCCAAAATCAATATAAATTCAATTATTATTATTTTATCATGACATTTGGATCCGGAAGAAAAAGTAATTTGTAAATATAATGTAAACGGTGTATAAACAAAACATTTTTTAAGGTATTTAATTTTTAAGTTTTATATAACTGTAAGCAATTTTCTATATTTTTTATTTTCTGTTTTGTTTTGTTCTTTTTTATTCTTATTGTATTTTAAGTGTACGGAAACTGTATTATTCAGTATTTTTTTTTTAGTTGTACAGAGAATATTTAATATTTGTGCATTATTTTGTCGAGTTTATATTTTGTAAATTTCTTTATTTATTTGATACGTTTCTCTTTGTTTTTATTTTTTTTGTGATGTGTGTTATTTGTAAGAACGAATAATCTTAACTATTGTTAAATAAGTAAGCCGCGCCTTGACATAATATGTAAAACCTATGTAAGCTACTTTATTTAAATATTATGTTTTTAATTTAACTTAAGTCCTCTCCCATCCACGATGCCATTTGTATCATATGAATATTTAATATTTTGTAAGAGGAGTAAAAAAATATATATTATAAGAAAAAAAATCTTTTTCTACTATTCGTGTGGCATATTAATAGATATTCCACTACATTATACATAAATACATAAATGTGACTGAAAAAAAAAAGAAAATTATAATAAAAATATAAACATCAATATGTTGATCTTTACTTTTTATATCTTACAATCTTACATTTTCATAATAAATGTATAAATTTATAGAAATCTCTTTACATTTTTAGAGCAAATATAGTCATAGTTTAATTAGATATAACTTATTTGAAGTTTTATAACAAACTTTACACTTTTGTCTTACTTGCAATTTAACAATCTATTTGATAATGAATATATTTTTTATATCAATTTAAAAAAAGTTCCTCGTTTTCACGGTAGGTGTAGGTGAGAAACACTGGTATAGAAGCAAATCATTTGACGATGAACTTTAACATTTACTTTATTTACTAAACATGATTTAAATTAATTAAAAGTTTAATTAGAAAGAAAGCAATATAACTAAATTAAATATTAAGAAGTGTAATACGGTTGAATTTTTAATTTTTAGAATTTATTCAACAAATTTAATTAATAAAAAAACTCATAAAATAATCCGAATTAAATATCTTTAAATTTGGCGCCAAATACGGGTATTTCCAAACATAAAACGTATTCTTCCGGATGGCCAGTAGAGGCCTCTGTCGTTCCTGGGTAAGCCCCCCTCAATTCATGTTATCACATATGATCGACATCAGCAAATATATACCACCTTTAGTTACAAGCTGCTTGTTAGTTAGATTTTAACTTTTTTGTTACCTAATTACAGCGGGAAGTTAACTTTCTGTTCGGTGTGCCGACGAATTGCGCCAAGCTAAATTGCAATTGTTTTTGCTTTCGGTTGACTCGCTGTTTCTTTTTACAAATTTTAACCTACAAATATAAAAAAGTTGAAGGTAATTTTCATTATTATTTTTTTATTATTATTTGTGGACAAGGTGTGGATCGAGATTTGCGACGTTTCTCTCATTTGGATTTCCAATAATTAACCTAAAAATATATAGTAAATCTTGTTGTATTTTAATGTTTATTTATTACTAAAAAAAACCTGCGCAAATAACAAACAATTTGGCATGTTCAATATTGTTACATATTATTTACGATATGGATTAAACTCTGCAATTTAAGTTACTTAATCTTATTTTCTAATAATTGTATTTGTATTCATGTTGAATACAAATTTGACAATTTCCAAATATAAAATTTTTTCTTGACAAAAACTTCTTGCTCTCACTGGATATACGTGGACTAATAAAGATTTATTAATAATAATAATATATTATGTTGTCTCTACGAAAAGCAAATTAGAAACATTTAACTGTCCTGTATTTAAATTCATTACTTTATATATTTCTTGTTCTAAAAAAACCTCGCATAATTTAGAAATCCCCGTCTTTTACTATGCACAATGATTTGAATAATCGATGATGAACTTTGATTCTAAGATTTGTTGTGTTGTTTACATTTTCGATTCGAGCGAGATCCATTGTGTTGCATCACAGACGCCAACACTGTTTACTGATTATGAAAGAATTAATTATACAATTTGTATGTTTCGCCAGTCAACTTAATTGCGTCTCTCACATCGCTTATCGTTTTCTAAGAAATGTTTTCTTCCGACCCAAAAAAATAAAAATTATAATCAATGTCCAAATAATGAGTTCCAGAGATGAGAAAACGCGAAGAGGGAAACGAAAAACCTGCTTCCACATTTTATTACCTTCTTGGAGCGAGATGATGCAGACACGTTCATGTTAAGATACGCATTAGCATATTGCTAATTAATCTGTCATATGTATTTTTTTTATCGCCACGTTTCTAATTTGAATCCAAATTGATTTCAATATTTATTGATGGATCTTTTTTTGCGTGAATTTACTTACGTCTGTTTAAATCAATTTCCGTCTTTGTTTTGTTTGAATCCTTCTTACGTAGAAAGTTTACAAGTGAGTAAGACTCACGTGCATTCAGTAAATTTATGTAATATTATATAATGCAAGAAGATATTTGATCAAATCAATTATGTGTTTTGCACGAGACAAACTTTACTGTTATGTATTAAATAAATTCCCAATAAACAGTACATATAACCAACATTAATAATTACATATGAATTATATTTCAGTAAACCCTCCTGTAACACGGTGCCAATTAATTATAGGAGCATTGACTGCATTATTTATTAACTATAACGCGATTTTCTTGTCATGCTCAGTATTAGTAGCATCAAAATTTCTTAGTTGTGGACGCACATTAGTACATGGCCAATGTACGTAATTGCATACGTTTATAGTATAAAAACGTAGTTCGCAGTTTAAAGAAAATTGATCACTAATCCAAATAATATCAGTTAAAACCCTTGCTTAATATATCAAATAGATAATAGTTAATATTTGTTCTTAGATTTAAAACAACATTTATTTCTTTAAAAATGTTCTGTTAGAAATTTTATATGTTATTTGAAATTGATACAAAAAAATGCAATTAACAACTGTAGTCAGTTTTATGCGTAGTTTCCACTGATGTACATAGAAAACAGCATTGCATATTATTTATTCCTTTTTTTACGTGAATTCTTGGGGAGATAGGAAGTAAAAGGCGAGTTTGATAACTAGTTAGAACGAGATTTGTGCGATGACTTGTCTGACCACTGAACGCATGGATTTATTTTGCATGCAGTCTCTCAGAATTGTATTTAAGTGGGAGAAAATGAATGAGAAAGAGATATTTGCTTTACAGTATTTGCATATGGATATATTTTTTTATTAGTTTTTTTGTCTCTTGCTTCAATTCCAATGTTCTTCAATAACACATGCTGTTTATTGATAATTAAATGTATGTACTTGTCGGATCAAATTAATAACTATAAACAAATAATGAGTTTTGGCGCGTAAACATTACACACTACTTAGAAAATATCATCTTAAAAATATGTACGTTATTGTTTGTAACTATTCTGTTTTTTTTTGTATTAGGGCCAAATTACTGTCACTAAATTGTATTCTTATTCGCCACCCTTGTGTGGGATTTTGTGCTATAGGCAACGACCTTTCTAATTATATTATAATTAGCTCCTAATGAATTGTTAACTGTGACATAACAATTCACGGACTTTCAACTGTGTGCGCCCTGGAATAAGTTTATAGTGGGCTATCACTATATGGAGGCCCGCGGCTTACAGTATATGGGGCCTTGACTGATACAAAATAACCTAAGTTTGGATTCGTTTTTCTCCTCGCGAACCCCTTCAAAAATCAAGTAAAAAAAACAATAAAATTTGGTAGAGCATTTATTTTCTATATTACACAATAGTTATTATCAAATATCTAAGTACAACCTTAATAAGAATAAAATATTAGCTGTAAAATAAATGAATTGATTTTGTATTCATTTTTTCAACAAGCATACGATATTTGTAGCTGTTTGATAGAACAAAACATTCAAAGTTTGGCTCAATTTCTGACAATTTAGATCTGGTTCTGTATTTAACTTTCAGAGAGAACCAACTCATTCTGCAGACATTGGATCAAAAAATCAAACTTTTTTAACATATTCTCAATTATATCATGCTCACTGAAAATGGTGACACACGCGCTTTGTAATGACAATTTTAATTCAATTAATTTACAAAAGATGTCAGCTAAGTTTGCAAGCTTTTGCAGCCACAGAATATCAAACTTCAGACTTCAATTCAAACAAGCCTATCAAAACATTGCCACGGGAAAGCTATTTAACTTTATTTTTTTGGTTATTTTTTTGTACACCCTGCGAACCCCCAAGAGATCGCAAACCAATGGTTTTCAATCACTGTAAAAGAGGAATAGATAAACTGATAGTAGTCATTGTTTACTTTGGAGATTTCTATCATATTATAGTTTGAATATTAATGTGGTCTGGAGCCACCAAGTACAATATTGCCAATATATATGTTATTCGGTAAATACTACTAAATACTATATACTATTCCTAAATGTTATTATACTATGATGCAATGTAAAAACATTTAAAATAATTTGAACTGTTAAACATCAAAATCATATATAAGTCCTACTTAAATGATTCGTACTAAATCAATTAAAGAACATGGATTTATGATTATTAATAATATAATTAATGTTAAGAGATATTAATAGAATCCTTAACATAATTCTAAAAAAGAACTGTTTATTTATTTTTGACTATGCACTCTTATCTTTGACGACTCAAATATTTTTTTTTTATAAATTTCTTTAATGGCGGTAATCATTTGCAATATCTTATATGTGTAAGTTATTGTTGCTTCTGTTCTAAATATAACATAAAGATTTATTTATTATGGCATGATTTAATATACAACTGAATCGAACTATTTATATAAATCTTTTTTTTTATCAAAACGCAATGAAGGAATAATTGACCTTATTAATACACTTTTCTTTTTATTATTAGTACTTTATGTATTTATTAATAAGTCGCTGATGAAGTTCTTCAACCTTATTTCATGTATTTTAATTTCATTGGTGTTAAGTTGCTTCTAACCGTTCGTATGCTTTCAAATATAAATTAGTTTGTTTTTACTAAAGCTAATCACTATTTTAACTACTATATACAGCATTAAATACAACATTAATAGTCAAACATAAAGTCTTATTATAAGATATTTACATTAAATTATTTGATTACTTCATATTATAATTAAGAACTATGTATGTATCTAATCAATGTATGAACAACATAATGTAAGTAATTATATATATATATATTGATTGTAGGTTTATTAAGTTGAATCATATCATCATATTAGTGTACTTTAATCAAATATTGAATTCTGTTAATTACTTCTGTTACTTAATTTTAAACTGTCAAATATCGTCATTTTTTGTAATCATCCTTGTTCTATTTCTGTCATCTACTAGTGCTTATCTACGACCACATATTTTTTAATATTCTTGTCTGAGATTCCAACTCTTCCATTTGCAAGTATACTATGAATATTTCATGACTTGTACGTTGATAATTTATAAATAGTTATTTGATATGTCTATTATGGTGATAAGACACATAAATGACAGTCAGGTGTACCAACTACACACTGTACAAGCGGTCGGCAACCCGCGGCTCCGGAGCCGCATTCGGATTTTTTTTTATCTAGCTGTTTGGTTGCTTTCGACTCCTCTTTTTATCATAAAAAAAAATCTTTAAAATGGCTCTACAATTCAGAAAAGATTCCAACCACTGCATTATAAAGTATTTAAATATGCAGTTGGTAAACATTCCTGTACTCATTCACATTTTATATTTATTTCTCAAGACATATTTACTCTGAATGCAACCTATAATACAAAAAAATGAAATTAAGAAATTAATGAAAATGAAATCAGCGTAAATTTAATTTTATTGATCTCCATAAAATGTAGAGTTTAATCGTAATAATAAAATGTGAACGTGTCTAAACTACCTGAGAGCAGTGGCGCATACCAGATAAAATCAGATTTTCGGCCTAATTTCTTGTTCTTTTTCATTGAAAGAAATACCAGTAAAATACTTACTTTACAGTTATTATTCGAGCATAATGTTATAGCGAGGCGCTGCATGCATGACAGATATCTTATCGAAGATAATTTATAAAAAAGAAGCAAAATGGCCACTCGAGTGAGCATATCGTAATTAAAAAAAAATAAAATAAAAAAAGGCTTGAACCGTGGGTCAGTTTTCATTGTGTATCTGTGTACTTATTACCCCGATATCTCGTTCGTATTACTTACAAACGTTAAGTCATCAAACAATTGGTTTCGTTCTTTGTTCGGAATATATTTCTTTGCTATGTTAATATTTTAATAATTTGATTCAGAAGCTAAAGTTCAACGCATTGCGTACATTTTCCTGAACTGTATGTAAAATGGAAAATCCAGTTGCTGAAATGATTAAACAATATTATTAATTTTATGATTATTTTCTTACATATGTTTGTTAAGGGGTTTTCCTATTGATATATTTAATCAAAATGTCATTCAGATATGTGTATTGTTCAAATATATCATTAGAATCGAGTTAGTATAGTCCGTACAAATATTATGTTGTTAAAGTAGTAATATTATTACAGTGAGAACTGATTCAACGCTGTTTCTTTCAATGCTTGTGCACTTATTTTATACTAGTTTGATGTAAGCTGAAAGTTGTATAAACAATCTCACAATGATTCAATTTGATTTGTATTTTATTACCCAAATGCATTGTTTTTTTTATTTGGTCTGAGTTTGGAATTGTCCGGCTTCGTTTCAGCCGTAATGTAGTTAAAAAAATTGAGTTTCAGTATTGAAGAAAAGCCATCCAGTGGTGATATAACAAAAGTTTCGTAAAGAATCTACGTTTAGTTAGGATGCATTAGATTTATGAACATATTACAAAGTTTATTGTTGCAATGTGCCATCTAGTGGTATTATTTGAATACAATTTTAAGATAATAAAAAAAATAAAACAATAGCATAACTATTCAATTATATAAATTTAATTGTTGAATGATTCCATCTATTGATATTATTTGAATAGTATTATGATGTAACTAAGTAATATTGAAACATATTTGAAATTAATTAACATTGTTATTTCTTTAACATTGATTTTTTTTTTATCGATTTATTTACATTTAAGGGGAGTTTACTCGGAAGTTAATTATTTAATTGAGACAATAATATTTTGCCGAAATGTTTCCACAAAAAAATTAAGAGAAAATGAAGCGTGGAACATTCCGTCCGCAATTAAATATTTGTAGTTGAGTGGACTGAATGGAACCGCCGCACAGTGTGGATCTCTAGATTGAGACCTATAACAATTAGAAGATGAAAAAGAGACGAAAATGTATTCAACAGCATCACATGCGACAGTTATCGGCCGTAGAGTCTCGGAACAATTTTATTATTTCGTCCTCGAAACAATCTAAATCACTTGACCCCCAATCAACAACAAGTCAATTAGACAAAGTTTTGAAATTAAATAAGAATACTTAGAATATCATTTTCTTTTTTTTGTGTATTTGTTTCATTCTAATTTCCATGATCTCATTCCGATTACGCAGATACGAAGAGATGTTGAGCGTCGCGAATTAAGTGTCCTCGCGTGAAAGGAAAAAGGTAGTAAAATGAGTGCAGCGAAGAGGCCCAAATTGGAGGTCGCGATGGAACCAGTTTTACCAGAGGATTTAACAGAGGACGTCCCGTTAATTGAGGCCTACACAGGGATCATATTAGATGCAAAAAGCATATCTCGGATGGTCGTCGATCTGAATTCGACGATTCCGATCTCGGAGTTGGCGCACCTAAAACGGGTTCGAGCCAAGGAGATTTTACTATTCCCGACGACCTTTACAACTCCTGACAAAGTAATTGAGGTTTTGAAGCGAAAAGGTTTTAACGTGGAATGGATCTCGGATCAAATCAATGTGGTACAGGTGGCGGAGGTGCCACCGAAGACCAAGAAACAATACGATGTTGTGAATAAGCTTTGGCCTTGCAATTTCCATAGTAACAAGTATCTGGAGAAGCTCTGCACCAATTCTCTATTCAACGTTTCAGAACTGGAGGATCACAAAAGATTCATGCGGATGTGCATAGATGTATCAAAGCACGGAATCAAAGCTGGAGCAATTGTGGTTGACCCTAAAACTAGGTCAGTTGTAGCAGTTGGCTTTGATAAAACATCTGAAAACCCAAACAAACATGCAGTTATGGTTGCTATTGATAACGTTGCTAGGACTCAAGATGGCGGGGCATGGGAGCCAATTGAAGACGGGGACGGTGCCTCCCTGGCGGGTATTCCGGGTAATATTTTGGACGATTTGAACGCGAATTACCCGGGGAACTCCTTCGGGGCGAGCTGCTATAAAGGAAAAGATGAAATTGAATCGCCCGACGATGGGCCGTATCTCTGCACGAATTATTACGTTTATGTTACGCACGAGCCTTGTATCATGTGCGCAATGGCTTTGATCCACAGCAGGGCCAAAAGGGTCTTCTACGGTACCAGCGTCCCCGAGGGGGCGTTAGGCACAGCCTGCAAAATTCACACAGTCAAGGATCTCAATCACCATTACGAAGCCTTCAGAGGACTGTTAAAAGAGGAATGCGAACGTCTGAATGGGAGTTGATATTTCCTCCATTTAATTCCCGTTGGGGGTGAAGACTATATTTTAATCATGTTGATTGTTTTATTTGTAAATAAATAAATTTTGTAATCAAAATGAAAAACAAATAGTTTCTTCTTATATATTATTACCATATTGTTTCCAACTTAATACAGTTTTAGTTCAAATATTTAACATTTCATATTTTGCTTTAGGTAGTAATTCATTATAGATTACAATAATACAAGTGCATTGCAAACATATTTCTAATCGTTGAGTATATAGATGAATATATTTTTTTGTTAAAGTATATATTGACTACAAAACAAGTATTATTGTTCATTATTTGTCAAGTTTGAGGTTATGTTAAATTTATTATAAGTATAATTTATGAGATTTTGGTATTGTATATTATATTTTCTAATAATACTGTATACATCAGTGTTTGTCTATATTTAGTTGCATTCGAATTTTATTGGTATTTTGCAATACCTCTAGCGTCAAATAGAGGGAACGGTGAAATACTCTTTGCTGTCATTGATACCTTCTAGGGTTTTTCTTTTTCGAATTTTATCTTATAAAAATTTGGTTCGCAGTACAACTACAAACAAACATGTTGGTTTGTGCGGTAATATGGTTTAGAAACGATGGTATATATTTTAATTAACATAGATTATATGTTTAATGTAAATTTCTATTTCTTTTAAATTAATTTTAATATTTCTTACTTAATGTCAAAATAATAATGTTGACCGGATTAACATTAAAAAGCGCGGTTTGACCATTATCTTTGAGTGTTTTAGCCGCTTGTTGTAATACACATCTACATATGACCATTGGGCTCTAGCTGGCGAAATTATGCTTGACACAAGCCAAGTGAAGGGAGTGGAGGTTTAAAAAGTAGAAGAACATTAAAATAATTACAACCTCATATTTTGATACAGACGATTAATATTTTGTTTCATATAATTTCTTGGAAACATTAAGTTAATGATAAAATACCTAAGCTACCCTAAGCGACCAGTGTTTTAAAATCTTTGGATCTTAACAGGAATTTCTTTTATTTTCTTTGTCTTCTTTGCTAAAAAGGTTTTATAAATTTTCCAAAGAAAAGGCTTAGAAGAGGTAACTTTAACCAAGATATGACTTCATACATGTTAATACTCCAATACACCCAATAAACCAATACCTAAATACAAAACTGCTAATGAGTTTTATTTGCAGTTTGTTGAAAATATACCTGTGAATTTGTTTTAAAATTGCATACCTATACAAACGTTCAATAAAATATGATGTCAATTATTTGTAAAGGTACACATTTCCGAGAAATGAATACATTTACCTAATGCTGTTGGTAAATGTGTATAAGTTTACGTTAACATACAGCGGCGTGCTTGTCTTTATCGCTAACAAAAGGATACAAGCAAAAGAATATTTGGAAAATCAAGTACTTTAAAAAAGTAATCTTAAATTTCCTTCCTACTAAAGTAGGAGATATCGTTAAAATACCGATTGATACCAGATGTAAATTTATTATATATGTAGTATTCGATAAGAATAAACAATAGTATGAAATTAAAAGTAGGTACCAAAGAAAGAAAATTAAAGCAATGTTTTACAAGAAAACCTACCGATCTGGTAAATGTATTCTTTTACTGATTTTGTACTTTTACTATAACATATGATTAACGTAAACTTATACACATTTACCAATATCATTAGGCAAATGTATACATTTACCGATTTTGTATTTTTATCCTAACATATAAAAAAATAGTATGAATATGACAATGTTGCTAAGTTTGATCCAAATTGTGATTATAAATTGCGTAGTTTCTTTTTTGTTAGCATGAAAATTGCTCCTGAAATGAATTTGTCTTCAATGTTAATGAGCGTCTGTTTAATTTTCCCAAATTGTTATTTATTGCTTTCGCGGCAATTGCAAAAAATTGCTATACTCGACATATTTCCTTCATTGTTGATTGCACGGATCGTGTATAACTTTAGATGTTGCTATTTCTGGATGCGAAAAATAACACTCGTCCCACACGACATCTGCTGTGACTCAAAATTAATTAGCGCATTCTGTGTATTTATAACTAAGGCATTCCCAAGAATTCGAATTGATTATCTGTTTGTGAAATGTAATTCATAGATTTTATTGATATATTTAAAATATAAGTATAGCATTTACTGGTATTTGATTCCGCCAATATCCCGTACTGTTTGAAAACGCACTCGAGGAACTAAATACATATAAAATAATAATTTTGTCTAATTTTTTTTTTTAAATAATTTTTATTTAGTTCAAATAAAATTTAGTTTATGAAATTTTCAAACCGGACTATTGCGAATTTGCATTGATCAAATATTATTGCTGTATTTTTTGTATGAATATTCAACTACTTCTACTTTATTGACATTCTACTTTATAAGAATTTAACAAAAAATCTGTCCGATTTTTAAAATATTAAGAATTAGTATATATTTGTGGATGCGCCAGGTATACCAATAATAATGATATACAGTGGAAGCTCGCTTAACGAGTTTAATTCATTCAAAAATTTCCGGATTTTTACTCGTATAGTGAAACATATTCAAAAATACACATAATATGTGTACATAAGTTTTAAAAATGATGTAGCAAACGCGCAATCCGGGACTTCTCTTCTCATCGTCACTCGTTATGCGAAACGTCGCTCGTTAAGCGAGTCATTTTTTCTTACAGTTAATTTTACACGTTAAGCGAAATGCTCGTCTATATATTGAAGAACTCTTATTTTTATCTATTTTTTACTTTTTAATATTTTTAAATAAAATACTTCATAATTAAATGAAAAAGTGTATTCTTTAATTAAATAACATCATTTGTTACTTGTTATCTGGACGTGCATATAAGATATAAGGATTTTGATATATAACATAATAATAAAGAAGATAATTTGTTAGTTTTGAATGGAAAATATGTTTTCTTAAAGGAAAATTTTCTACTTCATATTCAAATAAACGTCACTTAAATTTACAGATTTTATTGACGTACCTTATCACCAGCGATGTTTATTATTTGATGCTATTTAAATGTAACTATTATTTTAGAGGTTTTAACTATGTTTTGCACTTTGGGCGAAAACAAGTTATATAACAAATAGTTTTATTCCATAATTTTATGGTTAAAATTAGTAAATGTGCACATTTATTAAGTATTTTATGCACATAATAATGCAATTAGTACTGAGAAACAAAGAAATTTATTAAATTTGAGTATGTTTACAATCAACGATATAAGTAATAAAAACATTTTACATAGTCATTTTGGAAACTTTTTTGAAATTTAAAAACAAGTTGATTTTTTGTTTATATTAAAGAAGTTGAAGAAGAAGAAGAAATTGAAATCGTTATATTATTTATGTAACCAAAAATTATTTTTATGTAAGCAACAAATATTTATTATCTAATTGTACTTGTATTACGAGGAATATATTGTTTATAGAAATGATGTCAAGTACAGGCATCTTCCGACTTACGAACTAGTACCGTTCCAAAGGGTTTTTTGTAAGTTGGGGGAATTTTCAAAATTTAAAAATATACTTATCTTACCACACTTCGTCAAGGTTAAATTCCGTATTACTGACTGCATAAATTTGAAAAAATACATTAAAATAAACAAAATACTTACTTACAAATACTTTTCAATGTAGACATCATAATTATTTAATAAAAAACGACAAAAGAAACAAATACAACAAAGCAGATAGTACATCTTCCAAAAATATTATATTTTATTAAAGAAATTATCAATTTTTGTTTGGTCAGTTATTGTTTTTAGCACTATATATCTCCTTGTTACAAGTTAGAGGTTTTAGAATTTTGTTCGTAAGTCCGCGAGTTTGTAAGTCGGGGTATATCTGTATTAAGATTACGATATTGAGAGAATGGAACACCTAATGTCACCACATTAACTGATTAAAACCGCCATCTTTTGGAGTGGCTATATTTTAATTTACATTGTTGATAATAAATCAATCTTTATATTATAGACATTTTGGGGAGGGAGCGTCGATCGCGCTAAACTTGAAAATCATCATCACGAGTCATCATTATCTTATCAACAATTTGCAAAACAGTCGCGAGATTCGCTGGATGTGCAAGTGAGAGAGATGTGAAACATGAAATGAGAAAAATAGATATTTTGTTACTCTGTTAATTTACAAGTTTTATCTCAATGTGACGCAAATGTAGTGTGTGTATGTAGTTATATTTTTTTGCAAATATTAACTTGTTGATTGATCTGTTTCAGAGGTTGATGCATCCGAGACGTCGCAAAGGGCAAAAAGCTAAGATAAGCGCTTTCATCAAGGCCTTCCGGGATTTGGAGAAGTTGCCCCGAAGATCGGGGTTTTGGATACCAAAGAAGGAGAAGAAGAGGCAATAAATTAATAAAAGTTTATCCATAATAAAGTAGAGATATTAAACAGAGAAGCTGTGAGAGAGAAAAAGAGAGAGAGATTCTTTTGTTTCGAGAGGCCGATAAGGTTTGGTTTCGACGATAATGCGCACATATTCTTAACAATTGACTCGACTTGACTTGACTCGTTTGCAGGCTAAGCCCGGCCACGACAAATTAAACTCACTCACAGAATGACGAAACACCTTATAAATTAAAGTCAATTTGAACAGTTGCTATCAGTCAGCGATGGACTTTAGTTCTCCAAATAAGCTGTGAGAAGCGATACACTCTTCATCCCAGATTTTCGTTTTTATCCCCACTAAAGTCGATTCTTAAAATGGTTTTGCCAACAGTTTCGCAGCGTATTCGTCGATAAGTGATACCAGTTCACCCTTTCACAAATAAATAAAATAATAATTGCCCCCACGAAACATCGTTGTTCGCCAAAACGGCACTAAAGTGAGTGAAAAAAACACCGCAACGAGCGACGACTTAGCTCGAGCAATTTTCGTCGGTCAAGTGTTTAGGAAGAAAGAAAAGATTATAGTTTGGTGGTAGTGTTGCGCATTTGAAACAGAGATTAGAGAGAATCTTTTGAAAGGAAGATCTTTGCGTTAAATGGATATTCTATGTAATCATTTACAAGTTAAAATGATTAAAATTGACAATACGTTCCTGCAAAATCACCGTCAGAGAGAAACCACCGGCATCAAGAAATTGTACAACTCGTTCTTCGTTATGTTCTAAGAGCCGCGATTTAGAAAATCGTTTTGGAGCCGATCTTCGAATCTTCTTCAAAATTTTCTTATTAGGACAGAGCAATTATTTACAAAACAAAAGTAGCTTATTTAGGGAAAACTTCAATTTATTTATACATAACGAACCCGAGGATCGTTTAACAAAGAACAAACAAATTAAGTGTAAGAAGGTATTATGGATTTCCAAATGTACGAGAACGCGGAGAGCCCACAAATTTTGCTATTGAACGAGTCCCGCTGCAAGAATTGGAATATTAACATGGAGAATGAGGAGTATTTTCAATGGATGAATAATAGTGACGAGGGGAAATTCGAGAAGAATCCTCCCGCCAGGAAGAGGAAGATCGAAACCACCTCTGACACCGACGATTCCTGCGGAAAACAGGAAACCAAATGCGACAAGAGGATCAAGAAGAATTCCTCGCCGCACGGCAACGGTGAGTCTTTATATAAAATATTTTACGCATTTCTTTCTTATTTTTGTTCAGACTGCTTTCTTTCGCTTCCCGCTAATTAACACCAACAACATAACCTTATTATTCGAATATTAAGTAAGCCAGAACATCTTCGTCAAGGTCTTATCGGGATAGTTTCGAAACCACACGAAAGCCTTTGCATACTTTATTTACAGCCGAATCAACTTTGAACGTTTGTTTATCGCTTCTTCAATTTATTTTCAATTTCAATCACTATTTTACGTATTTGTATTTATATTATTTTCATTAAATTCAAAGAACATCAAATATTTCATATGAACATACGAATACATGAGGAAAATTTGATTATCAATGGGTAAATTTTTATAGCAAATTGACAAAATTATTAATTGAACCGTCCGGAAAGATCTATTGTCAATAACTCGTTATAACAGTTAATTACTTTTTAAATTTTAATATACATTTTGTTTGTTTTATTATTTATTATGTTAATAACTTTCAATAAATATTGTTATTATTATACCGTAAGCGGTCATTCTTCGACGTAGCAACAAGAAGATTAAAGCGTTTCAAGCCCTTGCATCTTCAATTTAGAGTTGAATACAAAAAATAATTATATACAAACGTAAAGAAATGCAACTTCCTAATGTCAACAGCGAATCGATTTGCTAAATATTCAGTTGAACAGATTGCAAATAAAATTGACAAAAATATATTATTAATTAATTGAAATATGAGTATTATAAACATGAGCAAAATAAAATCATCAAAGTATATTGAAAACATAAATAATTTAGATTGAATAATTAATAGAGTGTAAATTAAAAACTCAAAGAATTGAGAAATGTAATTGGATATAGTTTATATGGACAAAAAGGGAGAGGGAAACAGGTTATTAAAAACAAATATAAATCAATGATAATATTAAAATATATTCAATTATAAATGAGGATAATTTTTATATATACAGTAAAACCTGTTTTTGTACGGAGGATAGGAACCGCATAAAACTTAGAAAATACGTCCAAGATTTACGAAATACATGAGAAAGTGCATCCAAATAAAATAAATAATTAAATTACAAATGGAAACATTTTAAAAACATTTAATTTCTCATTGTACATATGGAGAAATTATCACAATGCATATACATAATTCACTGCTACTCATGTTAATCCAAAACGAGCATCTTCTTGTCATGAATTGGTTTAAAATCGACTTACAGAATCTTTTGTGCACATTGATAGAAAGCATTACATTGATGCCAACGCAGTTTGAATTGGTTGGATTTCATGCTGTTAATGAAATCCAACCAATTCCATTAATTCCATAAAAAATCGCATAAAACGATGGCACAAATTTTAATTAATTTTAGAGTGAATTTTGTGAAACTTTTTTCTATTATTAAATTAGATATAATTTTCATTCAGAACGTATTCATTATTATTTTTTCTTTAAACAGAGAAGCCGCTTTTTGTCCTGTTTATTTTTTTGAGGTTTTAAAATCCTCTATTAGTCCGGTTTCAAATAGTCCAGGATATTGACGGAACCCATTTATTACCCGCACTCTCCGAGTCATTTCTGTATATGTCCTTAATATTTAATATCTAATTATTCATCGTAAAATAAAAATATAAATATAATTTAAATAATGTATGTAGAATTTATGGAGCAAAAAGAAACTGATACTATAATTACTCCACACTTTTCTCGCTTGTGTTCAAGTCGTAATTGTCTTGTTAGAAAAACTTCATAAAATCATGAACAATTTACTAATAAAACAGGAATTATAATCATTTCAAAACGTCATATGTTTGGGTTTTCAATTACGTCTTTTCATTTGTGATAAAATCCCAATCAATTTTGTGAATGATATAATCATAAATGAGAAACATTTCAAAGTTATCTGTTTGGCTGTGCTTTTCTACATTATTATAAGAAAAACTTTTTAGCATCATGTTTTTTTTTGGTATTAAGTGATCAACAAAATGCATAAATTCTCACATTATTATGGATTTATTCTTATTAATGTAATTTAACTGTATATTACAATTGTTAATTACATGGAATGACAATTTGAATGTCATGAGAACATATCAATAATTCAAACATGAGAAATATATTCAAAAATTGATATTATTTTATCTGTCGAACAATGTGTCGCTGAAATCGTTTTGCTCGTTTATTTGGATTCGATATCGTCTTAAGGTCGAGGTATCATAGGTCAATAGATCTGTCTTAATGTCAGCTGCAACGTTATCATTAAAAATAAAACAAATTAATCTATGGCATTTTTCTTTCAATTCTGTGAAAATTGCTTTATAGAATTATATATTTATGTTGTTATAGAAATTTTAGTTTGCAATATAATAATATATTGCCGGACTATGCGAGGTATTGTTCATATATACAGCAATACCTCTCATAATCCGATTAGTCGTTTATTAATTTCTACTTATACGTTAATACATAAACAAAGTTGGTATTTGTTTTAATTAATTGATTTGTTTGCTTGCTTATAAATTATATATATTATTTCAATAACAAGATTGATTGTAAATTGATTCAACGAGAATAATGATACAGGGTTTTTAAAAAGAAAGTTTATTTTACAAATATTTGTTGATTTTTTTCTTTGATTCATAATGAATTTATACATTTACCAAATAAACTATATTAGTTTAATAATATAATTAGTATTTTTTTCAAAAAATATTTAACAATTTATTGAAGATAAAATACATTTCATTTTGAAAGGCGATTTTTTGTCTTACTGTATTCAAAATCATTTGTTAATTTTGTAAAATCAATCATTATTTTTCGTCAAAATAAGCAAAATCAATGTTAATGAATTATAGTAATAATTCAGAAATAGAAATAACTAAATATATGACCTTGGTTTCGAATTTGGTTTAGTTGAATTTGGTATTAATATTAGGATTTCAAGGCATACAAGAATTTAAAGAAAATTTATTATTTTTACGCCAATATTCCGCACTGTTTGAAACTTAAAAGAAATCATAAAAATAAACTGCACAAAAAGAGATATGAATATGGGAAAAACGATATTTTTGTTTTAAATTAATTTGTATTTTACTCAATTAAAATTGAGTTTCTATTGAAATTTTCAAACCATGGTACGGAGAGAATTCGAACTGATCGTAGCTGCAAAATACAAGTTATTTCTTTGTAGCTAATGTCTTATGACATTAACTAATTGTAATGATAATTAAAATAAATAATATCTCCTAATTGATTTATCGTAATCGTATAGGGATTATTACCTTTTTGATAAAAGTGAGCATTAATAACATTGAAATTATATCTCTGTTAAACCGATTTTCGATAAAATTATATTATATACTTACAAAAAACAGTAACTTGATTATAGTTTTAGTATAATTCACAGATTTCTATCAATGAATTCGTGCAAAAAAAGTGTAATTTGAAATTGAATAAAAACGAATGCATTTAAAAGTAATATCGGTATGTATGTCAGCAATTATTATAAAGCTAAATGTGCCTTTTCTATTTGAAAATGTTAAAGAAACATCGTATTCACATAATAAAACTTTTATTATTGCAAAATGCAAAAAAATTGCATTAAAATTATTATTTTATGTTTACTTAACTTATTAAATGAGCATACTTACATAACATACAAACCGTTAGACTAAAGAAAAATAAATTATTACGTATCGATTGGAAATCCCACAAGGAAAAAAATCTATTGCGTTTCCCATTTTAAATCAGACAAGTTTTTTTGTATAAATCTAAAGACAATTTGACCAACAAACGTTCATTAATTACCATCGAAATTCGGTAACTTTCTTATTGCACATATTAAATCAAGGATTACTATCCAAGTGAATGAAGATGCAAGAGAAAGTTCACAAATTCATAGAAATTGTTTGATCTACCTTAGCTTTTAAACTATGCATTACTTGTTTCTTCCTAAATTTGTATACGTCAGGAGTGGCTAATTTGTTTGTTCTTTAAATCGATTTTTCTACGTAAATGTGTTTGCGATCTAACTGTACAATTATTAATAATACAATGACATAATCATGTTCAATATCAAGTTTAAATTAGAAATGGACTTATTGGCAACCGCTGGTATATGTAAATGAAATCTCTAAACCGAAGCTCTTGCTTGATCGCATGATAAAAATAATCTAAACTATTTTAAATTGATAATTTCGATAAGAAAATGTGTAGATTGAGATTTAGCCAAAAGTTTTTTTGTTTGTGAAAAAAAAAAACAATAAAAATAATAATTATAAAATGCTTTCAATTTGCACTCATTTAATTGCTTGCTAAAAATAGATGCAAAACAAAGGAAGTGTGTACCTTACAGATACACTTAATTTGTAATTAACTGGAAATATCGTCTGATGATAAGAAATTATCTAATAAATTTCACAATTTGTATACAAATTGATTTTATACATTTCAAGGAAATATATTATTGACAGGACAGAAAGTCTTAAATTGTGGCTAACAAATATTTATAAATAAAATATTGTTCTTGATATTTATGAGTACATCAATACATAAGCCAAGTGTGGCTTCGATCAGAGCCGAAATAAATTTTTATTTATTTATTTTTAAAATAAATACCCATATCGTCTAAGTAAAGACACTATTGTATACAATCCAATCAACAATTGTGGATTTTATTTTTAGTTAATTAGACAATTTGATCGGATTTATAATTATAATTTACTCTGAAATATTTTTAAGCAACGTTTGTTAAAATGAAGCAAGTTATAATAATTCTTGTAAAATAGCACATATAACACCTCACTCAATAAGTTAATAGATGACGCCTCTATCGACAACCCATTTTTAGCAAGTGCCAACCTTCAGACGACGCCTGTCAAATTGATGGCAATCTAACATTTAGTTCACAAGTTACAGTGATTTTTTCAAAACAATGGAAAAATCTGAATTTCGTGTGTTGATTACGGGGACTCTTCTCCGTCGAGATAAATTGTAGA